AAAAAAGAAGAAGCTTTTATTGTTATTGTTGTTATTGTATGATAATAAGGCTATAAATGTGGCATTGTTTTAAATGCAGTCTTTGTGTTATATTTTGTTTGTGCTTTTTTTTTTTTTTTTACCACATTCAACATTTACAGCCTTCAAAGTGGATCCCAGCATAAACAGCTATGAGCTGCAGAATCTTGAGAGCAACAGTGCGTACCGTGTGCAGCTCTCTGCATTTACTGCAGCTGGAGAAGGAGAGCGCAGTGATTTCACACACTTTGTCACAAAACCGCCAGGTAAACTCATATTTTTCATGAGATAATGTCTGTTACTGAGCTGGGATTTGAGGTTTATCTGTTCAAAATACACACTAAATCTCTGGAGGTTTGTTTTTTAATCACATGGACTGAAATAGTCACATACGTACTGACTACATGGCTTATTTTGACAGAATTCACAGCTTTGAACAGCATTATAGCCGCGGTCGTTGTAGGAATAATAATTCTTTTACTAGCGGTTCACTTCAGCTTCCGGCTTCTGCACAGGTAGAGACACTTGCATTTTATGTTCTGAAAGATTGCCATATATAACCAGTCACTACCCCCTGCATGTCTGTCATCTAATGTGGAGCTCACTGTGCATTTTTACAGAGCCAAGAAACTGCTGTGGCCGAGTATACCAAATCCTGAGAACAGCAATGCTGTTCAGAAAATTGAAATTGCCTATGAACTGGTAAGCAAGAGACAATATATACTGCTGAAACAATAATTTCGTTGTCAAGGGAAATAATATACAAACAGTACTGAGACAGTGCCACAAGTACAGTACAGTTATGACCTGAGATGGTAATACTGTGGTTTAAATGGTACAGAATCAGAAGCAGAAATTGCCAAGTATGTTTGCACATACAGGGAATTTGTTTTGTGGTATTGCACACTGGGGAGAGCATTTAACTGTTCATGAAGTAGATTGCCTGTGAAGTACGCCAAGGTACTTCACATAATACCATTGTTTTACCATAGTGCATGTCTGTTCGATTATATTATACTCTCTGCCAGATATTTCTGTGAGTTTGCCTGTCTGCGCTCCCTCCTCCCTTCTCTCCCTTTGTCTTTTACCTCCTCCCTTCTGTGTTCTCTATCTACTCTCTTTCGTCTTTCCTCTCTCTATCCCTTATTTTATACACACATGCATATACGTATATCTCCTTTTGGCTTCAAATGATGAGATGATGGTGGAGCCCTTTGGGACGAGGTTATTGAGTTTGGTCTGTCCGATGTACAGAGTGCATTTGGGAGGAGTACTTCTGCCTGATGTACTCCTATAATATGTTTAGAACTTCCTGATCATATTCCCATTTTATATAACACACATATGTAATCCATATCTTATTGGTTGAATTGGGTACACCACCTCTCATAATATGTCTGTATATACCATTGTATAAGACAATAAAAACAAAGTTAGGCAACCTCAGATTTTTTTGTCTGCCTTGCCTTTCTTCCCGCCCGTTACACTCTGGGGGACTGAGAATATTTTGGTGATGACGAGACATAACGGGATTAATTTTTAACAATGTCCAAAAAGCATATTCTGCTTGTTGGTTGGGCCACATGACATTGATTTTGAAAACATACATACATTACATTTCAAACATACAACAATACATTTCAAATGTTAATAAACTGTGAAGAACTTTCTAAGAAATAATAGATGAGATTATAATAATAGAATAATAAGATTATGCCGAACTACTTAAGGTTTTATTTTCAAGAAATTCATTGATTTAACAAACCTGCTTTCTTCATTATATCAGGGCAGTTGTATCAACCTGAAATTTTTGACTTTATGCCACCCAAAAAACATCAAAATGACTTAATACAACCATTAAAAGCATGCACAATTGCACATAATAGAAGAAGTGTATCTCAAGTAATTTATATGTATGCTACCATTCAAATATTTGGGTCAAAAGCCTAAAGCTGCATTTGTTTGATCACAAATACAGTAACAATATCGATATTGTGAAATATTATTATAATTTTAAAATAACTGTTTTCTATTGTATTATTTTGGAATATGTAAATTATTATTGTGATGACAGTAATATCATGGTACTATAATGGTACATGTCCAAAAGAACACAGTGTTTCAATGGTACCATGTCCAGAAAGCCATGATCCATGAAATCCCATGGAGGTTTTTGTAAGTGTACATTAAGTTTCAGTTTATGACGAGACGTTTGAACATATTCATAAGTGAATTCATTATTTGAATCCTTTGGCCACTTTCTGCCATGTGTTTCTTCTGCAGGGTATCCTGGAGCCACTGAACAGACAGAGGTTAGAGGAAAGTGAGGGATGTGATTCCAGTACGGTGTGTGTCGTTGGGAGCAAGAGGGAGGCATCTCCTATCAGCAGCCCTCCCACCACCCTTCTCCTCAGTGAAGATGAGGACAGCCCATCCATCCTGGAGGAGATCGCACCACCTGACATCCCAACCAGAGAGTCTGTTATCAAAAAGACTCTCCCTACGGACTTTAATAAAACAGACTCCGTTTTGCGCACTTCTCTTGATGAAGAAGTCACAACCTTTGAAAGCAAAGACCCTAGAGAGATCGTCTCCAACACGACCGTATCGGACTTCGTCCCAGCATCCCAACCTGCTGTGGTTTTCATGAGCGATTACACTACCATGGAGATCTTCCAGCAGGTCACTATGACTGGGATTCAGGGTCCATCCATACAAACAGTAAAACCTGGATTGGTTGCTGTACATCCGGGGCAGGATTATGTTCGGCAGTCCTATTTTTTGCAAGAAATAGTCAAGGAACCACCAGGGGCATTTAACAGTACTGATGTTTTGAACCCAGAAATCACAGTGCTTTGAGATGCTCTTATCCGGTGATTTAGAGGACACTTACTGTACGGACACAATCCCTCTGGGGCACTCTGAGATTAGGAGCTTCATTTAGGGGTACAATGTTCATTGTCCTGTTCCTGACAGCTTTAGCTGCTACTCAACACCTCCCATAAAAGATGGAATACGCTACTTGTATTGACAGTGAATTGGACTCAGGTCTCCGAATTCTACCTCAGAAGCACCAGTTCTTGCGACAGAGACCACTGCATCAATGACACAGCCCTAGATGTTCCTTAAAAGGGGTCATGAAATGCATTTTCAGATCTTTATATTGGTTATCAATGTTTTATTGCATAAAAAAAATTTTAAACTACGACAAGTTTCCATCCTTATTTTCACTATTTCACAAACACTTAATTTAAAGGGGTTACCTTTTAGAAATGCAATTTTTTCCCCCCAAAAAAATGTTCTCCTAGTGTGCCATAGGAAAAAAAATGAAATTAAACAAAGGGTGGGAATTTTTTTTTTTTTGGGTGCACTGTCGCTTTAATTATTATTGTACATGATCTGTACAGAATATACTACTATATTTTCATGTGAATGTACAGTGTTACATTATATTTTATAATAAGGACTATTACACAAATTTAGGGACTTGCAATTTGAACTTCAAAAACATGGTAAGGAGTTTAACATTCGCAAGCACCGTTACATTTTCTTCAGAGAATGTAAACAATTACACAATAAGAAAAACATACTGCAGTTGATAAACCGGAAGTATAATAGCTCTTTAATGTAAATTTCATGTTAGGGAAAATCTTTTATACACGTATGTCTAAACAGATGCACAAAATCACACAAATCAATGTAATTCAGAAGTTACTTAGTTCTTAATCATATTAGTTTTGCTGCTAACAAGTACTGTATATATGTATATATACCCACTTACAAAATTAGACTGAAAAGAAAGACAACATAAAAAAATAAATAATATTCGGAAGCTTAAAGCTTTAAATTGTAGTTATTCTGAACGAGACAGCAGTCACTGTTAATAACGTTACTGTGCTCATCAATCAGTAAAGGCTTCTTAGAAAACCTATTAAAACATCTGAATATATGCCACACAACAATACTTGTATGAAGAGTTTACTGTAGGACTCTGTATACACTGGTTCAAACAAAATACTGTTAAAAAATAAGGATAAAACTATGCATTTTACACAAGCTTTAGTATAATACTCGATAAATAAGTCGTTTGACTTGATTTACATTGTTGTTAAATATTCTGTTGTCACACAAACTGTCTAGGCACTTTTAACATGCACTGTGTAACTACACAGTTCACTCGGAGTGTTATAATACACATGTACTAATTGTATATATCTATATATACAGGTGCATCTCAATAAATTAGAATGCCGTGGAAAAGTTCATTTATTTCAGTAATTCAACTCAAATTGTGAAACTCGTGTATTAAATAAATTCAGTGCACACAGACTGAAGTAGTTTAAGTCTTTGGTTCTTTTAATTGTGATGATTTTGGCTCACATTTAACAAAAACCCACCAATTCACAACAAATTAGAATACTTCATAAGAACTTCATACTTCAATAAAAAAAACATTTTTAGTGAAATGTTGGCCTTCTGGAAAGTATGTTCATTTACTGTACATATACTCAATACTTGGTAGGGGCTCCTTTCGCTTTAATTACTGCCTCAATTCGGCGCGGCATGGAGGTGATCAGTTTGTGGCACTACTAAGGTGGTATGGAAGCCCAGGTTTCTTTGACAGTGGCCTTCAGCTCATCTGCATTTTTTGGTCTCTTGTTTATCATTTTCCTCTTGACAATACCCCATAGACTCTCTATGGGGTTCAGGTCTGGTGAGTTTGCTGGCCAGTCAAGCACACCAACACCATGGTCATTTAACCAACTTTTGGTGCTTTTGGCAGTGTGAGCAGGTGCCAAATCCTGCTGGAAAATAAAATCAGCATCTTCAAAAAGCTGGTCAGCAGAAGGAAGCATGAAGTGCTCTACTTCAGTCTGTGTGCATTGAATTTATTTAATACACGAGTTTCACAATTTGAGTTGAATTACTGAAATAAATGAACTTTTCCACGACATTCTAATTTATTGAGATGCACCTATATATATATATACTTTTTTTTTTTTACTTCAGTAAATAGAAATTATGGAAAAGACCAGGTAGAGTGGATCAATCTCAGTGTACCCCAAAATCAAATTTTGAGAATTTAGAAAAATTAAGAAACTCCTTTTCCACTTTAATGTGAATAAGTAAAATAAAAAAATAATCTGTCCAGATTTATTTATTTATTTATTTTACATTATAGCAATGATGAGAGTTTTAAGGAACATGTACTTAAACATCAAAAGAAAAATTATAAATGCAAAATACATTATTTTGAGGTAAAATACAACTTTTTTTTAGATTCACACTAATAATGGCTTTGTTTTAGTACGATAAACCAAAAAGAGAAACAAAATAGCATAAAACATCTTTCCACAAGAGTGTAAACACAAAGTTGCATGCAAAAGAAAAATGCAAAACTGATTTAAAAAGTGACCTCAACACAAGCACCTTCATTCAATATACCGCATCTCTCAATCACAATAAAGAACTATCCAAAAATTTACATTTTCATCCATATGAATATCATATGACAGGTAGAATATTCACAGCAGTAGAAAATGTTTTCAGAAGCCAACAATCACACAGCAATGGACACAAGCGAAAGCACTTCAAAAGGAGTGACAGCTGTTACAGTATGATACATGATGCTGTGATCACTGTTCTTGGCATTATGGGTACATGTGAATCACTCAGCTGCAGAGAGATCATCCTCCTCGGCGTAAGTGCTCCTATAGCTGCCGTTGAAATGAGCTTGAGGAGATCTGTCGTCACTACCCACAGAGCCCGACCCATCCATGTCACTGTCATACTCGTGGTCCACCTCCTCGTAGCACCTCTCCATCTGCAAAATCAAACCACAACTCAGGAAAGGGCAAACAACACTTTCCATTCAGTAAATCTGACTGAAAGCATCCCACTGGCTGCAGGCTTCATTTAAATAACCCTTCAAGAGTTAGACGCAGTAAGACCGTATCTCACTTGGGTGTTAATAACCCCCAAAGTCATCATTAATTCCCATATGTAACACTGCTTAAAGGGGTCATCGGATGCCCATTTTGCACAAGTTGATATGATTCTTTAGGGTCTTAATGAAAAGTCTATAACATACTTTGGTTAAAATTTCTCAATGGTAGTGTAAAAAACACCCTTTTTACCCTGTCAAAATCAGCTCTGTTTTCAGCACGCGGTTCTAGTCCATGTTGCTTTAAATGCTAATGAGCTCTACTCACCACGCCTCTCTCTTCCCTGCGGTGACGAGCCATTCTCATGATACGGTTAACTTTAGCCACGGAACTTGCTAACTAGCACGTTATTAGGAAAGGCGATTTGCAAAGATTCATAAAAAACCCTTATACTCACTTCTACTGTAGATGAAGCTGGATCACGAATGATTCGCGCGAACATAGACGCATTAAGGCAGATCAGAGATCGGCGCATTCACTTCAAAATGAAAGTAACGTTAATCCTCTGCGTCTTCAGCGGCTCAGATGTCTGGAGTAAATGACGACTGCTATATTCATTATTACATCCAACAACAAAACACCTCAATCGCTTAATCGGAGACATTCTTGTCTTCCCCTGCACCGGAGTCGACACAATGGCAGACAGCTCACAGCTCACTCAGCGCGGGTCTAAGGTAAGACACCAGTCCAGTCTGTGCTGAAACGCTACTGTCAATCAACTATCGTGGGAGCGGCCTGTGCAGAACTAACAGGAATCGCAGAACAGCCTGATTTGAGAAAGGGGATTTTAAAATAGGGATTTTTAAAAAACCACTGGGTGGATTTTTATCATTATAGGGTGGATGTGTACATACACTTCCAATGCACATTTATGTTCAAACAATAACAAAAGTGAATTTTGCATCCGATGACCCCTTTAAGTATACAGTACTGTTTAAAACTTCTACTACTTTTTTTTTTGTTAAAGAAATACTTTCAATCAGCAAGGACACTGTGAAGGAAATTTGTAATCGTAATAACTAATATGTGACCCTGGACCACAAAACCAGTTTTAAGTCGCTTGGGTGTATTTTTAGCAATAGCAAAATTATAGATTTTTCTTTTATGCCAAAAATCATTAGGATATTAAGTAAAGTTCATGTTTCGTGAAAATATTTTGTAAATTTCCTACTGTAAATATATCAAAACTTTTTTATTTAGATTTTTTTGCACCCTCAGATTCCAGATTTTCAAAATAGTTGTATCTCGACCAAATATTGTCCTATCCTAATGAACCATACATCAATGAAAGCTTATTTATTCAGCTTTCAATATGATGTATAAATCTCAATTTCAAAAAATTGACCCTTGTGACTGGTTTTGTGGTCCAGGGTCACATATTTCTTTTTCTTTCAGGCTTACCATTTGTATGCTTCTGAGTATTAAATGTCCTTAACACTTGAGCCAGTTACTTAGTGTGTTGCAATAAAGAATGCACATTTACAAGGCGTCTAGAAGTCTAAGAGTATATAAAAATAACCATAACAACCCATGACTTGAGTAGCAAGCTGAAGTAATCAAAAAACAAATTTGTTTTGCCAGTAACAGAGGGGAGGTTTGCTGAATTGCACATATGAAAAACCAATATATTAAAAAAAATGATTAAATGAATCATGTCATTTTTGCCGTGCACCTATGCTATATAAACTGTTGTATTCTTTTTGTCGGGGGGATTCTCTGTGATTGGTATGAGGTCCTCCGGGCCGTGATTAAAGCATATTCAAAGGCACTGTCTGGAGTCTCTCTGGTTACTGCTGCACAGCAAGTTATGCTAAGTTCACACTACTGGATTTTAAGCCTGATTTTAGCCCGATTTTAGGACGGGCTGTGATCGGGGGGAAATCAGCGGGTGATCGGCGCTCTGCAATCTTTATGTGTGAACTACTCAACATCGCATCAAAAAGGCTCGCTGACGCGTCGCCGAGGCAAACAAATATCTAGCATGCCAAATATCTGGACCGGTCGGCCGACTCGACATCACGTGGTGTCAGGTGTTGTGACGAGCTACAGCCAATGAGAGAGCAAGGCATGGGTTGAGGTCACCGGAAGAAAAACAACACCAGCAGCAGCAACATGGCTTAAAGGGATACTGCACCCCAAAATGAAAATTTTGTCATTAATCACTTAATGACAATGACACTCGTCTCCTCTGTGTCTCTCCGCATCACCATTTTGGAGAATATCGGCTGGACGCAAGCAGCGTACGCTATTCTGTCAGCCACGACACAAGGATACGTTTTCTAAGTGTATTTACACTTTGATTTGAACAAAAACAGCGCATCAACAGTGTACGCTGCTTGCGTTCAGCGGATATTCTCCAAAATGGCGCTACAGTGATGCGGAGAGACACAGAGGAGACGAAGTGTAATTTACTTGGCAGTCAATCGGACAGTCACAAGACTCCCAGTTTTCATCCAAAATATCTTAAATTGTGTTCCGAAGGCGAAGAAAGCTTTTACGGGTTTGGAACGACATGGGGGTAAAGTGATTAATGACAAAATTTTCATTTTGGAGTATCCCTTTTAAGAAAAGTTTAGACACAATAAATGGAGCAACATTTTTCATCGAGCAAACAGCTTGCAGCGCTAATTTCTTCCCGACATCCATTTTCAAATAAACAACTCCTGTTTCACGTGTTGTTTCGCGTCATTCCCGTTCTAATTCTCGTGTGTGTTTTCGTCACAAAATGTGGTTTGTAGAGTCGTTGGGTGACAGAGTTGTTGTCAGCTTGTGTAGTGTGTAACCCCCGGTTGCGGATCATTTACATAGATTTACATAGTGTGAACACCACAACGACTTAAAGACAGACAATCAAGTCATGTAGTCTGAACAGCACAGCGATCTGCCAACGTTTTAAGTCGTGTAGTGTGAACTTAGCCTTAGTGGAACACTAAAGATCTTAGTCCTGAGTTATAGTGCTCAAAAGGGGCAAGATGTGGTCCGACACAGTAGGGTGTCGCCAGTAGACGTGCTAGAGCATAAACTATGTTAGTGTTGCCAGGAGACACTTTGGGTGTCGCCAGTAGATGCCCTCAGGTAAACTTAAGTCAGGCGCATAGGGGAATTTTTACCACAACGCATTAAAATGAACAAAAGTGACAGTAAAGACATGTTACAAAAGATTTCTATTTCAAATAAATGCTATTTTTTTCTATTCATCAAATAATCTGAAAAAAAGTAGCACGGTTTCTACAAAAATATTAAGCAGCACATCTTTTCAACATTGATAAGCAGCATATTAGTATAATTTCTGAAGGATCATGTGACACTGAATACTGGAGTAATGATGCTGAAATTTCAGCTTTGCCATCACAAGAATATATTACATTTTAAAATATATTAAAAGACAAAACTGTTTTAACTACTAATATTACTGTAGTTTTTGATCAATTAAATGCAGCCTTGGTGAAAATAAGAGCCATTTTTCAAAAACATTCAAATAAATCTTACTGATCAAACTAAATAAAATAAATCTTACCCCAACGTTTTAAATATATATCATAATATTGTACAGTAATCATATTTACAAAAGTCACATAAATGCATATAAATCAAGAAAACTAGTAAAACACTACAGACTGATGTTTTAATGTACCATGTCAAAAATGTTTTCCTCGGATGGCAAAAATTTCAAAGAAAAAAAAAAAAACTAGAACGGTTCACACTTCGTCAAAATGATGTAAGATTTGGGGGAAATAGAAAAGCTTTACGGTTAAAACAGACATATTGATGGTTATCAGAGGTAGACAGGCGTGAAAAACACTTTAAAAGTCAATCTTTGAGAGGATCAGCTGTGATCATCTGTTTCTTATCTATAAAAACTAGAGCAGCATGCAGATACAGTACAGCTGAGTTACATGTTGTGCAAATTATTTAAACTAAACCCACACAGTGCGCTCTTTGAGATGCATGGGGAGCAATGAGTCCCTCAACATGAGCATTAGAGGTATAGAGTTTCCATTTATCACTTCAATATGCAGATATAATAGCAATATAATATAATAGTATCAATGCAAACTGGTTATTAATCCAGTAAGTTGAGTACATAAGAAACTGACATTGGTTGGAAGAAGACTTTGTGACTTTAGCTCTTCTCCCATAACCAAACCCACAATCTGATTAGCAGCACACTGCTCTAACCGTCAGTCCACACGCCTCCAGAGATTAGCTGTACCTGGTAATGGCGTAGTTTCATGAAAACCACAACATGAATAAAATGACTGTACTTACATGGTGCTATTAACATTATAAGTCATAAAGTACTTGTGCTGGTGTGAATTTACGTAACCTCAGACCAAAATAACCAAGTCATTTTGCTTGTGTTTCATAAATAAAGCTTAATGTGTAAATGTACATGAGCTATGTATTTGAAATATGAATTGGACACACCAGTGATGGTTTAGCTTTATGTTCATAATCCCTGCTTTTCCTCCTGGATGTTGAGGTTTCTGTCCTTTCCCTGCTACGGTCCCGTCCTTTATCCCTCTTTTTATCTTTCTTGCCTCTGAAAATGCACAGAAGAAATTAAGATTTTAATAATGAGTCTGATCGTACAACAGCGTCAGACAAATTGTCACACTCCGTAAACCTTTTAGATGGTGATGGTGACCTGGCTTTCCGCCTTGGTGACCTGGATCGGGATCTGCTTCTTTTCTTATGGACTCTGTGAGATAAAGGAAAATAAAAAGATTTTTATCTAAGCACACAAGCTAACTTCTAAAAAAAATAAAAAAAAATAAAAATGTAACTTTTCCCCAGTAAAAATTATTCTTCCAACTAAATTTATACATCGATATAAAACTGTATTATAAGACTCATTTTCACAGAATATGTTGGAAAGGCACTAAGTGTGGCCACCCAAATATAAGACAGTTCTATATTGTTTAATTCTTTGGTCACTTCATGATTCTCACACTTCCCTTTGTTTTATTTCATGTTTTGGTTAGAAATAATTATTAAAAAAAAAGAAAAAAAAGAATGAGCAGGTGTAAATTTATTTTATTTCTTAAATTGACTTCTTTCATTAACTTTATTTATTTTTTTTTGTATTTTTTTTTTTGTGCATTGTAGGTGATATTTTGAACATGCAAAGTCTGTTGTAGGTTTAATACGGACACTTTCTTCTGACCTGCTTATACTGTGGGAACATCTAGAGCCACTGTAGCCTTTGGAAGGCATCCTTCCCTTTTTGTCCCGTGGCCTCGTTTCTTCCCAATCATTGTCCTTCCTTGCTTTGCTGTCCTTGTCCTTCCTTTGGTCCCTGTGTATGAGACACAACACTTGTCTGAAATGTCCTTTGTAGGAACAAAACAGAATATGAGTGTAAAGAGGCCGATATGGTGGTGCAGGTTAACCTAGAATGAGATAGACTCCGGCTGTGTTTCCTTTCTCGGGAACATGAGCGTCTCCTATGGGGCCCACGGGAGTCATTCACACTCTGCCGTGATCTCTGGGACAGGCGTCCCCTTTAAACACCATTGATAAAATAAAGTTATTTTTCCATTGCTACAGTGAAACATAAATTACTAACATTAAAAAAGTGGAAATTATGTCCACACATATATAACAAGCAAAGCTTGGGTCATTTAATACAGCATATCTGCAGATTTTAAAATCAAATTTAAGACTTCAAGACTTTTTTTTAAAGATCTGAACCAATAAAATTAATACTGTATGTTGATACAGAACAAACCCATAAAATCTCAAACTAAAGCTTAATTAAGCAGACTGGGACACATTTTCAATGAGGACTCATATCAGCAAAACAGGGTAACTGCAAAACATGTTTGATTAAATAGATACATATGTATTGAAATTGTTTTATGTACCAAAATATAAATAGATCCAAATTAGAAGTTGGTCGATATTGGATTATTGCTGACACAATAATAATGTGAAAATAATAAACATACAGATTATTGTGCAGAGTAAAATCTATATACTGAATGTGTTAATGTTCTTAGTGTTTCCTTCATGTGATGGGGTGGAACAGAGTGAAGCTAAAAGTCTTTAAATGAATCCCAGATACAGTTTGTGTAACCAAAATACCAATAATAATAATAATACAAAGATTTTCATGCATAATGTGGGCCTTTTAATAATAAACTCTCTTAAAATGAAATGTCTATGCTTTACGACTTTCAGATGCTCAATCAAAAAGATGAAGGAAATAGAATATAATTACAGCCATCTACAACATATTACACTATAAACACCATAAAGTAAACATTGTTATAATTCTTCAACAGTACATTATAAGCAATTGCTTGGCATAAGTATGTGGCGGTGATGGAAAGAGTACTGAAAATTTGCACTCGTAATACTCAATTACAAGAAAAAGTACAGGTGTTAAAAAAGTAATTAAGTAGAAGTTCAAAGTACTCTTCTCAAAAACTACCCAGAGTACTAGTTACTTTTTAGCCATTGACATTGAATGAATTGTCAAAAACCACAATCAAATCAGAGATCCATGGAGAAAATTAAATATAGCAATACAAACATAACTTTGCTTTCCATTTAGTACTTAAAACACACTTCGAGCAAGTGAAAAATATCTACAGCTATCTAAATATATACAGCCTTTGATTGGTTACCTTGATTTTGTTTCTCAATATTTTTTCTTAATCACCACAATTAAGAAATGCTCATCAAATCTCCACGAAGCACATCAAGTGTATTGGTTAAAACATGCCGAGACATTTGATTGCACATCACATTTTGACATTACCAATACTGCTTGCAATCATAATGCAATATGCAGAAAGTACATTAATACTTTAAATAAAAGGGTTACTGAGCTGTTGTTTATATCAGCGGTGTCATGCCCATTCAAACCGTGGGGGCACGTGCCCCCTCAAATTTTTTGGATAAAAAAAAAATCCAAAAAAAGTGGAATTTGAACGCAGCTTCCAAAAGTAAAAAAATAGCCAAATAATATTTTTTATATTTGATTCAGTGCGGCACATCACCAACTTCCAAATTCAAATCTGCGGTCATGCTTTGGCTGGCGCTGAGCCAAAACAGATGTGTTTTTACAGTGCTGTGCATTATAACCAATCACACACGATACATCTCTGATTGGCCATTGCATTCAAGAAATCAACAGACATGTCTGTGATTGGCTACATTGCTCAATACGTTGAAAATAGAAAACAGAAACCTTTGACACTCTCCAGAGCGCAAACACAAATACGCACTGGATCGTTTGCCAAATCCGTTTTGCCAATATGTTGTTATTATAATTACAGCTTCAACTGAGGGTGTTCTTGCTTTCGTATATCTAGTAAAACTACTGTAGTGAATTACTTTTTCAAAGGGTTAGCTTGATAGTACTTTAACTACTTAAAGGTGCAATAGGTGATTGTCTTCAGAAACATTTTTTGTTATGCTGGTTCTGTGAGTAGCTTGTAGCTTAGCAAGCTACTAAGCTTTCAGGAGTCAACGTGGCAAGTGTGTTTACGGATGTGTGTAATCTACCTGTGCCTGGATCTAGATCGCTTTCTTCGTGAGTGTGGTGGGGAGCGAGAGTGAGATCTGGACCTTCTGGAACATCTAGATCTACTACTGGATGAACCAATTTTATCATCTGGAAGAAACAATCAAAACTCTCATCAATTAAAAAGAAAAACATTTTGAGAAAGCCTCACTCTGTGTGTGTGTCCAGGCTAGAGAGGACAGACCTGGCTCGATAGAAGCAGCGATGGTTGACTGAGCCTCTCTGACTTTCTTCATCACATCCTCCAGCTCTTTGGCCGCAGCTTGAGGTGTGAGCTCTGGAGGCTTCACTATGGCATTATTGGAGTGGTTAATCCTAAAAAAGTTGATTAATTACTAGTAAAATATATACTGCTTGCACACAGATAATACAGGACACACTGTAAATCTTGTATTAAAGAAAACTGGTAGGTTGTTGAGCATATTTAAAAACTCAAAAAAGAACACTCACTTTAGTGGTCTGTCGCCAAACATAACTCCATTAAATGTAAGCGCTCGTGACACTGATTCCTGATCAGCAAACTCCACAAAAGCAAAACGTGTAGGTTGGGTTTCATCTCCTGCCATTCTAACAAACTTAACATCTCCCACTTGCTTGAAGAACTTGAGGAGCTGATCTGCTGTGGTGCTCTACGGGAGATTGGCAGAACAAGAGCAACATGCTTGAAAGACAAAAGTGAATCGTGTCATTTTAGATGCCCACTTTAATTACATCCATCCACCACATTTCTCATGTAGTGGCAATTACGCTGGGGTGACTTGTTTTGGTCTGCGTTTTTTCTTAAATTATGTCACACCAGTTCGTTCTTTAAGTATATCGGGGTCTTAAGAACAGTGGATTCCCATTCTTCTCCCTTTTCCATCGCATATCAGTGAAAATAAAATAATAATAAAAAATTATGAAGTAAATATTAAAAAATCAGAAACAGTGCCTAATATACGTGAAATTGGATGTGGTGTTCTTATTGCATACTGTTTTATAATGTACTCCAAATACACTATCTGCCACTATACAAGTATAAATAGTATCTAACACTATTTGCACTTGCAGATAGCCTCTGAATGAATTCAATTCATTTTCACATACCTGTGAATTTAAATTGCCGACATACACCGTCCTCCTGATCTCATCAATTTTAGAGGGATCTACATTTCCCATGAGCGGAGGCTGTGAAGCAATTGCATTTAGAGCCGCCACAGATGTGTCCAAACTAGACTTCAGGACCCCCAGATTAGCTAAAGGAAGACCTCGCTGTCCGCAAATAAATGTAACACAGTGACAACTGACAATTTGAAATAAAATACAGTAAATCTGTGACATGCAGTTGATGTAGGTGATATTTTTTCATCATTCATTAAAGGCTGGAATACATTACACAACTTTTAAATCTGAAAATAATTTAAAACACTAGGCATGATACACATGATACATATGTGTTCTAAAATCATCCCAAAAATATCAATATTTAACATCCTGCGACTGGATAGAATCATTGTCTCAAGCTAAAAAAAAAAAAAAACATTTGTTGCCCATCACACACTACATGACTTTCTGTGAAAAGTGTCAACTTTGACCGCCCACAATCTGCAAACTTGCTGTCTTTCACCAACTATCACTGGCTCTTCCAAACTGCAAATCTGGGGGAAAAAACAGTGTAGTGTATTCCAGCCTTAATTTGCGAGATTGTGTTTTTACATTCTGTAGTGTAGTGGGGCTAGGAATGGGCAGAAGTCCTCCTCCGCTCATCAGGCTGGTCACTGGGGCGGCGGGGGCCAAAAGTGAGAGCGCCTTTGCCTCTTCAGGGATTTTTCCTGAAGAACAAGAGCACTGGCATTAGAGAGGCCAATGGAGACATCTCCAGCTGCTTTACCTACGACCCAAGATTCAGAGGAGAGTTCTCTAACAGCCTAGCGCTCTAACACCCACCCTGAGCATCTCCAACCCCGACCATGAACAATCAAACAATCTGAACTAGCATAGCTACTCTCTTTTTACTATCAACACAAGACATACTGTAAACAGGATGACTTTTGCACAAAAACAGAGAAAAGAACATTTTGATTAGTCCTTTTCTCTCTTTTTAAAAAAAAAGATCAGAACAGAAAATGTAGAGAATGAGTTTAACACTTTGTGGTATGGGTCACCTGTACTGGAAACATATTGGTCATGAACCATACGATATCAAGCATGGGCGCTTTTCTCCCTGGGGCGATCGTGTCGCAGTGTTGGAAAGGGTGTGCAACACAAGACAACCGTTCATGTTGGCTGCATCACACTAATAGCACATAGAACATCAGATACAGAAAAGAAGATCATTTTAAGTGTCTTTGAGAAATCCCCCCTCAAACCGTCACCCCTAAAAAGTGTTGCCTTCACAATAAAGTTAAAAACAAATAATATTTCCAAATACGTTTCAGCCAATGTTGGTAAAACATATAAACGCATGCTTTGTGCTTACAGTGGCTATAGTACTCATGGGCAAACTGACTGTTGGTATATCTGTGCTTTTGTGTTAAGAACTAAATTAAAACCTCAAATGTGACTTTCAGCCACTTCAGTACTACTCTAAAGTCAATGTTCCCCAAAACCATGCAATGGAGTTATACATGTGCAATGGTGTGAGCTTTTATAAGAACTGTTTCATTTCTTGCCATTACAGTTAATTGAACAATGGTGCCTTGCAAAAATAAACATCACTCTTCACTAGCAATTCTGTCATTTTACTGAATTACAGATCCTACACAGGCACTGTTAGAAAATATTAGGGCTTCACGACATTAGGGGAAAAAAACTGACACTGCAATATTTTGTTTTTCAGTGATATATATACAGTGTGTATATATATATATATATATATATATATATACACACTGTATATATATCACTGAAAAACAAAATATTGCAGTGTCAGTTTTTTTCCCCTAATGTCGTGAAGCCCTACATGGGCATCCTCAAACGGAAGGTGGACGAGCGCAAGGTCTCTAACATCCACCAGCTCCGTGATGTCGTCATGGAGGAGTGGAAGAGGACTCCAGTGGCAACCTGTGAAGCTCTGGTGAACTCCATGCCCAAAAGGGTTAAGGCAGTGCTGGAAAATAATGGTAACCACACAAAATATTGACACTGTGGGCCCAATTTGGACATTTTCACTTAGGGGTGTACTCACTTTTGTGGCCAGCGGTTTAGACATTAATGGCTGTTTGTTGAGTTATTTTGAGGGGACAGCAAATTTACTCTGTTATAAAAGCTGTACACTCACTACTCTACATTGTAGCAAAGTGTCATTTCTTCAGTGTTGTCACATGAAAAGATATAATAAAATATTTACAAAAATGTGAGGGGTGTACTCACTTCTGTGAGATACAGTATATATATATATAAAATAAAAAATCACCCCCACCCCACTTTTACACATTTTAAAGCCTTTATTTTTTTAACTCTATAGTTGTGCAGTAAAATTCACTTTAAAGATTCACTTTTGATTTATGAAGATATCATGAAAAAAATGTGCCAAAAATCCTGGTGGAAAACAAAAACTTTTAAGATGAAAATGACATATAGCCAGACATATTGACATATAACCAATAGATGGCAGCGGAGGAACACTCATTAGCTCAGTTGCCATTTACACTCCCTAGTTTTCACATTTTGCTTTTGGGTTTATTATAAAATTACTATTATAACAAATTTTAGTAGCAAGTACATTTAAATAATAATGCATTAAATATTTTTTTAGATTTTTAGATTTAATTTAAAAACTATGTTTGTAAAACATTGCCTTAAAAAGGACACATCAAAAAGAGTGCTTTAAGTTTTATCTTTAACTGAGAAGCTGCAGTTAGAAATATTTTCAGCCAACACAGACTTCTTTGCTGCTGTAGTTTTGTTACTCTGTCAGATAGTTTGTTCTGTCCATATGCTATGTTTTCACTGTCAAACATAGCAATGACAAACAAAACTTTTCTTTGAATTGTGAGTAGATTATGTAGAGCAGTGGTTTTCAACCTTTTAGGACATGCCCCCTTTCTCTTTTGCTGTTTGATTAACATTAATAATATAAGAAATGCACGGATCCATTATACTGAACTTATGAGAATACTCGTCAAGAGCCATTCAGACATAATTTGGTTTGTATTTGCTCAAGACGTGAAAGAGAACTCATTTACCGGGGTAGGGTTGCACCCTAAGTTCTTACTTAAATTAGAACGTTAAGTCCACACTAGAGGCTTAGTAACTAATAGCTAGTGTGTAACTAAATCTATACATTATTCGGTTGCACCAGTTGTTCATAAGGCAAGACGTACCTAGTAGTTCCCTTTCGAGATGTCTCTCGATGTTACGTACAGCTTGCTAACGCATTGGGGAAACACCTTTCTCTTTAGAATACTGAAGCTTGACTCTACAATGGCCAATGGCGCATTGAAATTAGGGGGCGTGGCACCCCTTATAACGCAGCGCTTGGCACCATTTTCCTGAGAATCTTTCTCTTTTACCTGAATTATTTGGAAGCCTCTCCTTCGTCATCAAGTCATCGCAAATGTGACTAAATCTCAATCCTCTGCAGCGTTCCGGCAAAGTTGTGACATGTCCTTCAAACTTTGTTCTTCCTGCTCGGGACCTCTACAGCTCCCTGACGATCATGACAGGTAAAGTCCGCCATTGAGGAGCCCAACTGCCCTTACTGCGACACCAAGAGTGTCTGGACACTCCGTAGGAGGATAGCCCTCGTACTCAGTGACGCATCTACTCCCCATTTGCCATCCTTTTCCTCTGCCACTCCTCCGGAGCCGCAAAGTAAGAAGCAACGGCCACTGGTTGCGGAAACCAACGCTGCTGTCAGTGAGCTCACGCCGGCTCATGGTGGGTCATGGTGGGTCTAATGCTATTTCATGCATTCTGAGTAATTTACACTATTAAAGAGTTGGATTCTCCTGCTAAACATGGCCAAAGTTTCAACAAACGATTTGGACGTATGACGGAGTATTTCTGTGCCAAATACACTCCTTCTGGGTTTGAAAAAGTTTTGGAAAGTTTTTTTTCGAGCATGGCTCTTCATGACGTCACGAAGAGCGGAATTTCTTGTATGGGCACTTCTCCAGGAAGAGCGCGCGCACACAGCAAAAGCGAGAGCGAGAGCGAGAGCGAGAGCAAGAGCGAGCGCTCATCAACTTGCTTCATTCGGGTTATGGAAGTTGTCGGCGGCGCTGCACAGGACTTGCTCGAGAAGAATGTCTCCAAAGAAGTGTGTTTTTGGATGTAAGGGAAAGATAACCATGTTCAGCTTCCCAAAGAACCCAGCATTAAGGGAACAGTGGATGCAGTTTGTTTTTCTGGGAAAGCAATGGAGTTTCGCACGTGTGTTTGTTCCCGTCATTTCGGTGATGAATGTTTTATAAACAAGGCCCAGTTCGACGCTGGATTTGCAGATCGTTTCATACTGAAAGACAGAGCGGTCCCAGTGATAAAATATCCTGGTCATGAGCTGGAATTGCAAGCGGCGTGTAAAACTGATTAAAATTTCTGTGTTTTGTTGGCAATCAGTGCTCGGAACTCTTTAGCTCCGCCCACGGCACGCCTCCAGGAGCTCGGCTGTTTTCTGAGAGAATCGTAAAGCTGCATCTTTCTTTTGTAAATCTGATAAAACTAAAGAATCTTCAGAGATATGAAGGATGCAATACTACTATATAGGTACTCAAGATTAACATGAGATTGGTGAAAATGTGTGTGTTATGTCCCCCTTTAAAAAGAGACAAGGCCCGGATCCTGAAATCTTTAGAGAGCTTCGCAGCGCCACTGATCTCACCCTGTGAGCCACTAAGATGACGGCGCAGTCTATTGGCCGTGCCATGGGTAACATGGTTGTGCTGGACAGGCACCTATGGCTAACGCTGATGGACATGAGGGATGCAGAGAAGGCCGTCCTTTCGAACACCCCTATCAGTCCCTCTGGGCTTTTTGGCAGCTCGGTTGAATCCCTCACAGAGCAATTCTCTGAAGCACAAAAGCAATCAAGGGTGAAAAAGCACTTCATGCCGAAACGCACAAGTCAGCCCACTCCTGCTCCTCATCCGCTCAGCGCTCTTCCTCTAGACTGCGAGCTGATACAGCTCCAAAGCCCTGCCCACATCCAGAGTCTTCGGTGCGTCCCAAGGACTCATGGCATGGAATCGGTTACAAGCTTCAGTTTGCACGCAGACCACCCCGGTTCAACGGCGTGGTAACGTCGGAAGTTCAAGCCTCAAATGCTCCAGTTTTAAGAGCAGAAATACACAATCTCCTCGCCAAAGAAGCCGTGAAGATTGTGCCTCCCGAGGAACGAGACCGTTTTTTACAGCCGCTATTGTTTAGTTCCAAAAAAGGATGGCAGTCTTTACCCTATTCTAGATCTACGTCATTTGAATCACACTCTAGCGAAACATTCATTCAAAATGATTTCACTGAAACGAATGGTGAAATTATTGTGCACTCATGATTTTTCTAGAGTAACTTTTGCTACTGAATTATCCATTAACCTAGTTTATAATAGTATTTTTGTCATATATTTTGATTATATTTTTAGTTTGTTATTTTTTTTTATAATGAAGCTGTCTATATTTAGTAGATTGTGTGTAACATACAAAAGAGTGATGATCGACCTACATATTGAGGTATAGAAATTCTACACTGATTTAAAAAAACTCCGCTGGTATCGGATCGATATCGGTATTGGCAGATACTCAGAATTTTTGGTATCGGATCGGTATCGGTTCTGAAAATGTGGTATCAAGCCATCCCTAACAATCAATATGCAAAAAAGCCAGCTGCAACCCAAAAATCTTTTCCTGGGTGTGAGTCTGGATTCTATCTCCATGTGAGCTCACCTGCTACCGGAGCGCACAAGCAAGCTGCGCGCAACATCGAGAGAAATTTTGAAATGGAACGTTTCTGGTTACTAAAAGTAACTTCGGTTCCCTGAGAGGGGAATGAGACAATGCACTCGTGCCATGTCACTTTCACTCAGGTCTTGTTCAGTCGAAGATTCTGAGTAAAATGTGTTAAAAGGGATGCTACACACCCCCTAATTTTCACACACCATTGGCCACTGTGGAGTAATGGCATTAAGCGAATCAGACTTCAGTTTTCTAAGGAGAAAGGTGTTCCCCAATGCAATGCAAGCTGCACGCAACGTCTCATTCCCTCAGGGAACTGAGGTTACGTTCAGTAACCGGAGACTTTTGTAAGCTCGAAAGACATAATGTGTAGTCACATAATATGACGTTTACCCTAAGTGATCAAATATAGATAAAGCCCACCTAAAAAGGACCACCCCTGGTCCAGCGTGCATAATTATACTGAAACATAAATATATAACCAGCTTACCTGACTCAGCTTGATGGCTTAGCCTGTTTCTGAGCACAACTTGAGAGGCATACACATGCCAAGTGTATGCCTCTGAATTAAAAGGTGCTGGCGCGCCCCACAGGTTGAAAACCCCTGATGTAAAGCTAGAGAAACCGAGCAAAGGGCGTTCCATTTTTATAGCGCAACTGACCGAGCTTTCTCACACGTAAACTCCTGATATCATCAATGACTAACTACACCAGTGGTCACTAAACTCGGTCCTGGAGGACCGGTGTCCTGCAGGTTTTGCTCCAACCCTAATCAAACACACGTGAACCAGCTAATTAAGGTCTTACTAGGTATACTAGAAACTTCCAGGCAGGTGTGTTGAGGCAAGTTGGAGCTAAACTCTGCAGGAGTTTAGCTCCAACACCAAACTTGGCCCTCAAGGACCGAGTTTGGTGACCCCTGAACTAGACTATCAATGTGTGCACTGTGTGTATGCTTTTTTTTCTCGTTATAATATTAGGAAGATATGTGAGCTTGTAGAACTCCGTAAACTTGCGAAAACCAAAATTAGTTCGGAGCACTGATCTATACAACTCTATTATAGATCAGAGGTTCAGAGCGGATTCTGACTAACCTACAGTAAACACCTCTGATTGGCCATTGCTTTTAACAGAGATGCCTGTGATTGGCTACAATACGCAACACTGCAAAAACATTGTAAATTGAAACTTTTGGTTTTGTAATTGGAAACATTGGTAATTGGAAACCAGAGCGCGCACACAAAAACACATAGGACTCAGTAGTGAAACATGTAGAAACTCCCCGGATCTACACGAATCACACAAATGACCCATTTTGAATTCAAAATGGCAAATTTCACCGAAATGTGACACGTTTGCATCCCTGAGAATGACTGGGGTGATTTGCAGGTGAGCAGTTAGTAAAATAAAAATTAAAAAAGCTAAAAATTACCTTTTTAAATAAAGAGTCTTTCCTTGAGTTTTCACAGGCACAAATATTTTACAAATATTAAAACAATTTCATAGTATGTCTGTAAAATTATAATACTAATATTTACATCTTAATTTATTTATTTTCAAACGCTAAACTATTAGGCTTACAGTAGCTTAAGTAAATGAAACACAAAATCATAGCACATTTATTTAATTAAATGGCAACCTTTGCTATTTTTATATTCACACAGCCATATTGAAATGTCAATTTTATTTTGATAGATCATGCAGCCCTAGAAAATATGCATTAAAAAATGCTGCAAGAGAACCTGTTTTAGCTTAAAAACTGAAGCTTTGAAAACCGAAAGTCCTGATCTCAATCCAACATTGAACATGTAGCTATATTTGAGCATCAAACGACTAAAGATAACTATACTGTGCTCAAAATTTAAGTAACTGCTACTCTCTTTTAAGAATCCTAAGAATAAATTATAAAATAAGAATAATTAACTGACAAAATAATAATTAATAACTAAGAACATTTAAGAATATTTTCTAAAAACATGACATTCAATTAGTGCTATGAAAAATAAATGTATTTCAGGACTTATAATTCAGTAAAAACAGAAAATTGGTGAAGGGTCTGAATACTTTGTGAGGCACTGTGTGGCTATATTAAATAATGAAGGAATATATTCTTTTCCAAAGTAAAACCCTAAGCAGATCAGTGGAGAGGAGCGAGAGAAAGAGAGAGAGGAGGAAATCTTAATGCATTAGATATCAGTAAGAGCTGCCCTTGTACCGTTCAAACTTCCCTCCAACACTGGGCGGCAAGTCAACCTGGACAGCGTTCAAAGACAGGCAAAGGGGTGCAACTGTGGGATTGGGGACGAGGGACAAGGGGACAGGAAAAAAAGAAAAAAAAAAGAAAAAGAAAAACAACACAATGAATATGCAACTCTTCTAAGAGGCAAAAAAGGGACAACATGTGAGAGAAAAAAAAAAGGAAATTAAAATAAAATAAAATAAAAAGAGACAAGGTGTCCATCTCGGAAGGTTCAGCAGCTACGCAAGGCAAAAAAAAGTTGTTAGCCAGTGGTTGCACAGTAGACTTGAGAAGACCTCACCCTTTCACTTCATACCCTCTGCCTTCACACTCTGCAACGAATGCTCATTTCATAATCTGACTTCACTTTGCATGAAAAGGGACAAAAATAGGGCTTGAAATGTCTTTAAAAAAATTATTTTGATCTTAATTTTACATTTTGAATTATTTTAATGTTCTAATGAATCAAATGATTCAAATGATTCTTGCTTAGTGAAAGGAGGAGCTTAACTTTCAGAAAACCATCTACCACAGGAAGCAAAAGTTTTTTTTATTATTAATTTATTTTATTTTATTTTATATGTGGCACATAATGTTATTATGTGTTTGGCATTTTAGATTAACCGAACAAACTAATGGTATAAGCCAGAGTTGCAATTTTATATTAAATTACTCTATCAATTAGTTGTGGTCAGCTAGTTTTTAAGTGTAGTTATAATAAAATTAAAGAAATATATAATAATATTAAAGAAATATAAAGAAATATATAATTTTCCATAAATAAAAAATGCATTTTATTTAATTATTTTTTTTAACAAATACCTCTAGTAACAGGATTGAACAATTAAAAATGACAAATGCATGAAACAATTAGTAATTTGAATTTTGAAGTTTCTGTGAGCCTAAGCATGTAATGTTTTAGAAAATGAAATCTCTCACAATTCACATATAGCAAACAACTCAAATTCAAAATTCAATGCTATGTTCATCAGACAAGCAAGAACAATTAATAATAGCATCAAACATTCACGCAGCTACCTATTATTATTCTTTTGAAACTACTGCTGAAATACTGCTGAACCAAGGGTCACTAAAAGGATGCGGTGTAACAATTTACACTCAACAATTCTTCAAGTTTACCTTTTTTCTCAAAATGATAGAATAAAATCATGACAAAAAAATATATTTGTCAAATGTTTTGGTAGAATGTCATAAATTATTGGTCACAGTCTAGGAGTGCTACTTAAAAATGTAATTAAAAAAAAGTAAACAATGTTATGATAAAAAAAAGATTTATTTATTAGTTGGTTTATTGTTTTACTGCAATTTCTACACTACCATTTAAAAGTATGGGGTCAGTAAGATTTTTGTTTTGTTTAAAAAAAAAATGTATGTATATATATATATATTCAGCAAAAAGATGCTTTAAATTGGTCAAAAAGTCAAGATTTTTACCAAAACATTTCAAACAACTGGTGTTCTCTTGAACTTTCTAAAGAATCTTAATAAAAACTTAGCACAATTCCCACTAAAATATTAAGTAGCACAACTATTTTCAACACTGATAATTTTTTGAGAACTAAATCAGCTTTTCAGAATGATTTCTCAAGGATCATGTAACACTGAAGACTGGAGTAATGCTACTGAAAATTCAGGTTTACAATCACAAAAATAAATGACATTTTAAAATATATTAAAATAGAAAACAGTTATATTAAACTGTTGTAATACAATATTACAGTTTTAACGTATTTTAAATCAAACAAATACAACATAGGTGAGCATAAGAGACTTTTAAAAAACATGACCCCAAACATGAATGAATTTTAAATGAATGTTTTTATCAATCTGTACCTTGATTTTGAGATATTATTTGTGAATTAATACATTCATAAATGATTCCTACACTTAATTTTTAAGTGCCACTCCTAGTCCTCCATACCAGTGACTTTTAGTGATTTTGTGCTGTTTCACCCTGCTTTTCTAATTTTCTAGCAATGCATCAGTTCACTGTTAAACCCCTATTCAAAAGGCAAAACCCATTTATGAATATGAACTAATGACTGTGTCCCTAATCCCTCGAGTTTAGCAAAACACTAAAAGCGTGTTCACACAGTCCTGATGCTGTTACATAACACAAAAGAATGATCTTAATCACCTCCATCATTTCCACATCCTCCAGCTCAACTGATAAACAAGTGAGCTGGTGTCACTCCACCCACCTCCAATGAACTCACAAAATAAAACAGAGCTGATAGCAGTGATAGCTCAGCACACAGACTCATGGTTATCATACAAATCTGGGACACAAAAACACACAAAATAATGTCAGGAAGCCAATTATGGTTTGTTCTTCTCAAAAGTTTGATTTGCAGTTAGATAGTCAGTGTCTTTGTATAATCTGGCACACAAATGTAACACACATGCAAATGTACTAACCTTCAGCGCAGGGCACAACAATCAAAGCTCTGTCAATAAAAACAGTGTTGGTTAAATGTTGTGCCACACCAACACTGGAAGGCTCTCGATACTTTATGTAGCAAACTTTGGATGAAAAGGAAAGCGGTGCATTGCTGAAAGAGAAGAAAAACAAGGATTTAATTCCCCTTTTTTATGAATATACTGTAGATATAATATGCTGCATAGGACTGTACTTTTCTCTGGTCAATTATCAAAAAAGAAGATATGAACTTTGTAAAGTCAGAGTCTATAAGGCTGATCTTAAGTGGAGTTAAAATACTATGCAAAATAGTGCTGTAATAAATTAATGTAGAGGACTTCCTCTGTGGTTTAGCTGCTGTCCTAAGCAATTCTTAAAGGGATAGTCCACCCAAAAATGAACTCTGTCATCATTTAGTCCAGTGTTTCCCAACCTTTTTTTAGTCACGGCACCCTTTGGAAATTTTAACAAACTTGTGGCACCCTACAAAATTAATTTTGTCACAATATTTGAATTTCTAACTTCGATATAATTTGAAAAGTATAGATATTCGGTACAACAGGGAAGAACTGCAGAATATAATGTCATACAGATATTTTTAATATTATAAAAAAAAAATTGTCCATCAATGGTGGCAATCAGAAGGCTAATTTCTGATGAAGAGACCAATTTATATGACAGACTTTAATGTGGGCTCTTATTCATATGTAAACATTGTGAGATAGCTAGTTAAACAAAGTTTTGATTTTACAGCTGGGTAATTTTGTTGCAG